TGGGGGCTGCTTTAAGGCCGAAAATGCATTGAAATCGCACATTTTCACCATTCCGGACCCGTATCTCAGTTATGCATGGATGGATTTTGTTCAAATTTGGTACATACATTAAACATAATAGGCCCTTGATGCACGTCTTTTTTTTTTTTCGGATCAAGTTCGAAATGGCCGACTGGCGGCCATTTTGTTAAAGAATTCAGTTCTGGATCCGTATCCAAGACATGTCTGGATTGATCAAGTTCAAACTTCACACACACATGGTACATCATGTCACAAATAGATATGTGCATTTGTTTCATGATCTGCTTAACAATAGCGGAATGATGGCCATTTTAAGGCCGAAAATGCATCAAAATCACGTATTTTCACAATTCCAGAACCGGATCTCAGTCATGCATGGATGGATTTTGTTCAGATTTAGCACAATGTGTTGTACATATGCAGGTGCATTTCGGTCATGATCTGCTTTGAATGTATATGTCACTCAAATATGAACGGAACGGGGACGTGTCATTGACAATGACTTGTTCATAAGGTCTTATAAATTGATGATAATTGTTTTATTATCATTTTTAATAGTTATCGTCTGTGACAGTGTTTGTTCTTCTGTTCACCTTTTGGCAATATTCTATTCTATTCTATTCTATTCTATTCTATTCTATTCTATTCTATTCTATTCTATTCTATTCTATTCTATTCTATTCTATTCTATTCTATTCTGTCAGTAGTTCATCTCACCTATCGGCAATATTATGCAAATTACCCTTTTAGCTATAAAAGATTTTTACGAGTACCCTCATCATAACATTTGTGTATGCATTTTCTATCACAAAGGTCATTTTCATTTAGTGTTAGGCAAAAAAAAAAAATGTTGCTGCATGTTTGAGGGAAAATGTGGTTTAAACTTTTTTGTATTATCGGTAATATTATTCAATATGGTAATAAATTTGCTTCAAAAAATGTTTCATTATATTCTACGATTTCTTCAACACAGAGAAAATTCAGCTCACTTTTGATGTGGAAATTAATATTTTGTTGGTAGATGTGCAAGACCATGCATTATTTGTAATTATATTTATTTGTATTTTTCAGTGTTTTTGGTTTAAAAAGTAACGAGTCGTATATTGCTACTACTTTGAATGGGCTTGGTGTCATATGTCTACGTCAGAGGAGACTCAAAGAGGTAATGAATAAATATATTTGTTTCATTCATTTTGTCAAAATTACAAAGTTAAAATTTTTCTATATTTTTACTTTTTTTGATTTCTTAAGCATGATTACTCTGAGTTGTCTGTGTGACAATTATACGTTTTCTATTTAAATTAAATGTTATCATAATTTTAGATTTCTGGATTTGTTAAATATTAAAATAACTACCGGTAAATTGGAATATCGCGTTAAAAGAATTGCATGACTGAAATTTTGGTGTTTTTATAAATCTAATTTTTCTGACCCATACAGTGAATAAATACAAAAAACCTTTCTGAAGAGAACAATCACTTTTATTTCTGAGTTATTTTATCCTTTTATTTTGCAGGCTGAGGAATATTTCCAGTCATCTCTCGAGTTACACAAATCTGGTGGAAAGCAAGACGCGGTTGCCGATACATTGACCAATATTGGAAATGTTAGATTTCAAATGAAACAATATGAAGATGGTAAAAAAGTGATGGAAGAGGCATTACAGGTAATATCAAATTTGCTCACCATTCACAAATTTTGAACACATAACATATTGTTATTTGTCTAAAATTTTGTTTAGGCTAATAAATCCATATAAGGAAACCATAAATCCATATAAGGGAACCATAAATCCATATAAGGGAACCATAAATCCATATAAGGGAACCATAAATCCATATAAGGGAATCATAAATTTATATAAGACAACCATAAATCCATACAGGGCAACCATAAATCCATATAAGGCAGCCATAAATCCATAAAGAAAACAATAAATCCATATGAGGGAACCATAAATCCATATAAGGGAACCATAAATCCATATAAGGGAACCATAAATTTATATAAGACAACCATAAATCCATACAGGGCGACGATAAATTCATATAAGGCAACCACAAATCCATATAAGGCAACTATAAATCCATATAGGGCAACCATAAATCCATATAAGGCAACCATAAATCCATATAAGGCAACCATGAATCCATATAGGGCAACCATAAATCTATATAAGGCAACCATAAATCCATATAAGGCAACCATAAATCCATATAAGGGAATCATAAATCCATATAAGGCAAACATAAATTCATATAAGGCAACCATAAATCCATATAAGGCAACCATAAATCCATATAAGGGAAGCATAAATTTATATAAGACAACCATAAATCCATACAGGGCAACCATTAATCCAAATAAGATAACCATAAATCCATATAAAGGACGGCGTCAAATAATCGATGTCGGATAAAAAAATTTATTCCTTTAGTTTTTTTCGAAACCTGACCCTGCCACCCCCAATCCCACTGAAACTTAATTGATAATTATTGGTCATGGCTACATTCATCATTAAATACAAATTGATAATCGGACAGTAGTATGGCATAGCAGTTGGTTGTCGGGTGGCTGTATAAAGACTTTACAAATGCACCTCATTTGACGCACATATTTACACTCGAACCAAACCATTTTCTCGTCTTGGATGTTTTTTTTTGTTTTCAGTTATTTCTGTCTATGATTGGATAGGAAAAAAATGAAGTACAAATACTCCAAGATTTTTTTGACTTCATTAAAAAATAAAATCGTTTTTGTAGGATGGAAACTTTTTGAGGGCACCCCCCCCCCCCAACCCCAAACTAAAGCAAATAAGTTTTTTATCCGACATCGATCTTTTGACGTCGTCCTTAAGGGAACTATAAATCCATAAGGAAACCATACATCCATATAAGGCAACCATAAATCCATATAAGTGAACCATAAATCCATATAAGGGAACCATAAATCCATATAAGGGAACCATAAATCCATATGAGGGAACGATAAATCCATAGAAGGCAAACATGAATCCATATAAGGCAACGATAAATCCATATAAGACAACCATAAATCCATATAAGGCAACCATAAATCCATATAAGGCAACCATAGATCCATATAAGGCAACTATAAATCCATATAAGACAACCGTAAATCTATATAAGGCAACCGTAAATCCATATAAGGCAAACATAAATCCATATAAGGGAACCATAAATTTATATAAGACAATCATAAATCCATACAGGCAACCATAAATCCAATATGGCAACCATAAATCCATATAAGGGAACCATACATCCATATAAGACAACCATAAATCCATATAAGGGAACCATACATCCATATGAGACAACCATAAATCCATATAAGGGAACCATACATCCATATAAGACAACCATAAATCCATATAAGGGAACCATACATCCATATGAGACAACCATAAATGCATATGAGGGAACCATAAATCCATATAAGGGAACCATACATCCATATAAGACAACCATAAATCCATATAAGGCAACCATAAATCCATATAAGGCTAATAAGAAGTGATATCTATTTGGTCCAAAATCATCCAAAAAAATATAGAAAAATACATAAAACCAGAGGTACATTACTTGGGGTTTGCAACTACGGTGACATGATACCAAGATCCCGTTTCAATCTCGCTCTCGCATAAGCGTTCCAACTCAGAAAAATGCGAATGTGCATGCCCGAGGTAACTAGGATACTGGGATGTCCAGGTGGATCAAAATAGCTGCTCACAATATGATGGATTACGATAACTATATTTTCTGTAAATTTTAGATGTATTACATTTTTTCGCTATGTATGTGGTAATTCATGTTTTATTGATTATTACAAACGCCTATGTCATGTCAGAAGGTCGTAGCACCAGTATTGCTATTTACGAGATGAGACTTGAATGGGATCTATGCGCGTTGCAAACCCCAAGTAATGTACCTCTGTTAAAAACTGACAAAATTATGGCTTGTAAAGGATTTATAAATACATGTACATGTATGTACAAATATTTATCACAGATACGTGCACAGAATTATTTCACATCCTTGCAACATAAAACATTTCATAAAAAAAGAAATTATAATATTTTTATATTTGAGTACATTTTTAAATTAAGACGTTATTTTATAACTGATAAATAGGGATCCTCAGAACTGCTCAACATAATTTTTTTCTTTGTTTTGTATGTTAATTTCTTCTTAGATTTACGAGAACTTCTACTTTGGTAATTTACCTCCTGAAGTAGCTGGAGCTATTAACAATTTGGCATTGTGTTATAAACACTTGGAGCAACTAGATAAAGCTGAGGAGCTGTACAGGAAGTGAGTCTAACTAAGGTGTCACATTTATGGAATAATCAAAGTCAAAACAACAGATGGAAAAAAAAAATTATTTTAAGTATTTGTGTTAAAATGTATTGTGATAAATTTGTTGCTCTTATTTAACAATACTTTCGATCTTACTGCACCTACATATACACTGTAGTTGCTTTATGAGCTCGAGTAATGGTTGCCTTATATGGATTTATGGTTGCCTGATATGGATTTATAGTTCCATATATAGATTTATAGTCCTCTTATATGGGTTTATGGTTCCCTTATATGGGTTGATGGTTCCTTTATATGGATTTATGGCTACTTTATATGGATTTATGGCTCCCTTATATGGATTTATGGCTGCCTTATATAGATGTATGGTTCCCTATATGAATTTATGGTTTCCTTATATGAATTTATGGTTCCCTTATTTGGATTAATGGTTGCCCTTTATGGATTTATGGTTGTCTTATATACATTTAGAATTCCCTTATATGGATTTATAGTTTCCTTTTATATGGGTTTATGGTTCCCTTATATGGAATTATGGTTGCCTTATATGGATTTATGGTTCCCTTATTTGGATTTATGGTTCCCTTATATGGAATTATGGTTGCCTTATATGGAATTATGGTTGCCTTATATGGATTTATGGTTCCTTTATTTGGATTTATGGTTCCCTTATATGGATTTATGGTTGCCATATTGGATTTATGGTTGTCTTATATGGAATTATGGTTGCCTTATATGGATTTATGGTTGCCTTATATGTATTTATAATTCCCATATATATATTTATAGTTTCCTTTTATATGGGTTTATGGTTCCCTTATATGGAATTACGGTTGCCTTATATAGATTTATGGTTCCCTTATTTGGGTTTATGGTTCCCTTATATGGAATTATGGTTGCCTTATATGGATTTATGGTTGCCTTATATGGATTTATAATTCCCATATATGGATTTATAGTTTCCTTTTATATGGGTTTATGGTTCCCTTATATGGAATTACGGTTGCCTTATATAGATTTATGGTTCCCTTATTTGGGTTTATGGTTCCCTAGTTATGGAATTATGGTTCCCTTATATGGAATTATGGTTGCCTTATATGGAATTATGGTTGCCTTATATGGATTTATGGTAGCATTATATGGATTTGTGGTTGCATTATATGAAAATAAAATCTCGCAAATTTACTTTTTTCCCTATATTCCCCATTAAACTCATCAAAAATCAGTGAAAATAAATTCCAACAAAACGTCCAAAATGCCTTTTCAGTGAAAATTAATTCCAGCGAAAATAAAGTATTCCACAGTATATGGATTTATGGTTCTCTTATATAGAGTTCTCTTATTTGGGTTTATAGTTCTTTTATTTGAATCTAAGCTGGTACTGAATTTGTTAAGAAATAAAATATGATTGCATGATCTCTATATACATTTTCTTTCCATACAGGGCATATACTATGACTGTGAATGCATTAGGTCCAAGACATCCTGATGTCGCTGAAAAACTTAGGAATTGGGGCGTATTTGCCGCATATAAAAAGAACTATGATGCAGCAATTGACAAATACATGAAAGCATTGGAGATTTATAAGGTACAATTACAAAGCATCAATGAATAGTGTGGCGTCAGCGAAATAAGCAAAATTAAAACCCAGTGAATAATTAACCCTTTTACAGTATGTAAAATTTAGCATAGAACACATTATCTAAATGATAAAACCATGAGTTTAAAACCCATTGAATATATATGCCTGAAATGGTAAATCAGCGAAATTTAAACCCAGTGAAATTTAGTCATTTTACAGTAGTAGTAAATGATAAAACATGAAAACAGTATCTTGTTTATTACACGTCTCCAAACTTTAATAGGTGTGCATATACCAAACATGCTATTCTGTCCTCTTTCGTAAAATTTGTCTTGTTTTTATCTCGGCAGGTGGTCAAATCCACCACACTGATTCGTACATTCTGCATATACATATACTTCTTTAATGGCGAGTTAACATTGTATCATTTAATATATAATGGTAATACTACCTGAAACTGTTGTATAATTTATCTGTGTTGCTAGGATACCTTTGGAGAAGAGCATATGGAAACACTGTTGACGATGGAGAACATCTCAATTGCATACATTGAATTAAATAAACACGAAGAGGCTTTGAAATATTTCATGAAATCAAGTAAGATACATATGTTTCATCCTGAATGAATTACATTTATTACACTGCCCAGCTGTACTGTTATTTATGACAAACGTGAAAGCAGGCCACAGTGTGAAAATCTAAAATAACACCAATCACACTTCTATGACAATAACACCTACATGTCAGATGATGACGATTTCTTAAACTCTATGAACATTCTACAGTTGAACACAATAAATTATTGTTTAATTACAAACATTCAATCTCATTTAAAGTTTGAGACATTTTCATCAAAAATATTGAGATTTTCGGATGTAAATGACAGTTTTTAATTTCTAATGGTTGAAGGCAAAGTCATAACAAGCACTTTGCTCCAAGAAATATTACAATGTTGCAAGGGCTGACAAATGGCAGCTTTTCTGATTCGTTTATTTAAACTTCTGTTGTGATAAAACAAAGACAGATATTTTTCTGAGCATTTTTTTACCCAAAATAGAATATTAATAAAGGAAGACACTCCTTTTCTGCTAAGGAATTGATGAATTGTACCTTAATTACTTTTTCTCCAAAATTTCTCTCAACTCAGTGCATGTAAAATATTTTTACAAAATTGTAGAGAAAGGATTTTTTGTTTTACCAAATGTAGATTAATTTGTTAAAGTATTTTTTATCTTGACTTAAATTTTTCACAATTAAAAGTTTTCGCAGTAAATGGAAAATCAGTGAACAATTTTAAATGTGTATAGTATATTCTTCATATGTCATGGCACATGTCCTACACTGTGACAAAGTTTACTATCTTTTGAAATACCTCTTAGATGGTTGGGTATTTGTTTCCCAGGCATGCAATGAATTGTATTTAGCCATCAAGTGTTCATTGTATTCAGTCGCTAAGCAGTCATTATTTGAGTTTGGTTTATTCACATGTGTTGCAAACATTGTATGAACATAGTTTTCAGTCTTCGGTTTGTCAAAGGACAGTAGTTGCAGCACATGATTTGTTCAAATTTTGTTTAAACAAACAACGTATTTTCCACATGCTGTAACATCGGACGAATGTTGAACACTATATATGCAAAGTGACTATTGAATGGCTCGCTGTAACCAAATTAGAACACTGTAAACCACTTAAATCTCATGAACATTTAATCTTGTTAATCTGTAATTTTTAATCCATGAATTTTGTATGTCACTAAAATTTGTCGTGAAGTCAAAGCGAGTTTTGTGAAATTTCGTCCACATAAGTGCATGTCGTTGAATCATCAATTCCTAGAAGCAATAATTAATCGGTTTACTGTTTTCTCATCAATGATACGTTTACGTTTGCTCATTTTATATACCTTATAAAGGTGAGATTCTTTGCAAAAAAGGACGACTCGATGTTTCACTGATGTCACTGAACTGTGCGATGATTAACTTTTGTCATCGAACTGGAAGACAACATGAGACTCATAAAATACTGGAAAGAATTGTTTATGCGCCGTGGGCCACCGATTCAATGTTCCATCATTTGAATCACCTTGATCAGCAAATGCCAGAGAAGGAAAGACCGCAGAGACCGTATGAAATGACTTTGGATTATGCACTGACAAAGTAAGAATGCAAACTTATTCAAATATCAGTGAATTTTCTCGTTGACATGGTGTACATTACAATGCATATCTTTGCAGCTTAGAACATAGTATGTACACACTGGTGAAAATATTTATTTTCATTTTTGCAGATATCCGGGTAGTCTTCTCTTAGTACATACAAAAGCTGAAGACTTTGCTTCTGCTGGGGATTACCAGCGCACACTGGACATGTTGCGCAATTACGACTTCAAGGCGGAGGTCTACTGTGATATATATGAAACATTCAACAAGTATAACCACAAAAAAGAAGGATTTCATATATTAAGTGAGGGAAACAAAAAATATCCTGAACATGTGGTAAGCTGTTTGTAGTCATTATATTCTATAGTATTATATAATACACATATTATGTCTTGTATTACAATTAAAATTCCCCATAGAGGACAATGCAAAAACTTCAAAAGCAGAGATAATTAACTCATAGATCACTCTCAGTTTTTCAATCATTGATATGCATGTTCATATAATATTCATATGACCACATGATATTCATATATTCACATTAGATTTGTAAAATCCAATGCTGTAAGTCACACATGTTCATATAATATCCACATGGCATTCATGATAACCACCTAAGTCACATGATATCCACATGATAACCACATAATGAACACATGTCCACATAACCACACAATGTCCACACGATGTCCACATGACAACCACATGTCTACATAACCACATGATAACCATATAATGACCACATGATGTCCACATGATAACCATATAATGACCACATGATAACCATATAATAACCACATAATGTCCACATAAACAAAGAATATCCAGGAGTGTTTCTAACATATGTCACTCACAGAACAATGTTTCAATGAGCAAACCATCAGCATACTATATGCATGTTACAAGACACGATGCGTACTTATCTTCACAGCCCCTGTTACATTTCATTGGTATGTGGTATGCGTTCTACAAAGATTTTGACAATGCTGTGGAGTACATGATGAAAGCATTGGAAATAGAACCCAGTAATGTACATACCCTGTTTGACGCTGGTAGAGTGTATGCAGTAAGTGGCGATCTGTACAAGGCCAAGGAAATACTGGAAAGGAATGTAGAATTAGCCAAAGATAGCGAATTCCCAGATATCTTAGAAAGTGTAAGTCATAAATTTATTTAAATTACAATATCAAGCACAGCCATAAAAAGGAAAGCATATTTTTTTTTAACACATACACTACCACACGGATCGACATTGAGCTCTATACATTTTTAGCTCCGCTGTCATCGTGGAAGACAGAGTGAAGCTGCTCATATGACCGATTGTCCATGATTGTCCGTCCAGAGCCCATCCACAGTTGCATTTTCCACTTCTTGAAAAATACAAGCTCAGTTGCTTTAATATTTGGTATGTAGGTACCTTGGGTGGACCTCTGTCAGATTTGTTCATTTCATTACAATATCTTCAATTCTCTATTTTTGGCAAATATTTTGTCATTTTTGATAAAAAAAGCTATTTTTGACCTTTTCTTGAAAACTTCCAGCCCAATTGCTCTGGTACTTGGTATGTATATATCTTGGGTGGACCTCTGTCAGATTTTATCATTTCATGAAAATATTTCAATTCTCTATTTTTGGTGAATATTTTTGTAATTTTTGGTGAAAATGCTTCTTTAAAATGAACAGCTCAATTGCTCTGATACTTGAGTGGACCTCTGTCAGATTTGTTCATTTTGAGCCGTTATCATCAAATCATCATTTTTGGCAAATGGTTTTGAATTCTTTTTTTACCCAACCCAGTTGCTTTGATATTGAGGTGTACATTATTTTTCAAGAACAATTTGTTTGATGAAGTTAAATTGAAACGTTCTCAACAGCCTTAACCAAACTACTTTTTTAAATTTTGTCGTATATTGCTTGACTTGGCTACTAAAGTAGGACACCGAAGCTCACTTGTCATCTATATATATAGAATATTGGCTAAAATTTCTTTGGCTGAAGAAATTTTGATAACATTAATGGGGAAAAGTACATGTTGCTTTGAAGACGCCATTTGTACAGAATTATTTCAAATGGGTGCCTGAAATACAAGCATTGACATGCTAAAACAAGTTTTCTCAAGCATACCTATTCTAAAAACATTTGTTTTTCCGAAACTCATTGTTGACGGTTGTTCATTCTGTTAGATTTCCCAGAACTTGTATTTTCTCTCACTTCATAGTGGTTTTTTCAAAATTCATGTATCATGTATACCGTTGAGATTGAACACAATTTTTGGTAAGTTAACAATGGCAGTTAAACAATTAATGGAATTCAATTACTCTGTTGTGTCGAGTGTTTTTATCAGAGTTTAATAACGTATATTTTGATTTATTATGAATAGACAATTAACTTCCTTGGTGTTGTTAATGCAAACCTGAAAACAATAGAAGCCAAGCCAAGCCAAGAATGAAGAAACTACATGAAAATGATCAGAAGATAAAAAAAAAGTCATGCACATAACTCAACTGAAATGAACAATTCAGAATTGCTTCCTTACTGTGCAGTTTTCTGAAAGGTTTCATTCATCATGGGTAGAAAATGAATAGGAAACCATAATTTAATCATAGACCTTAGAAAAAGTCTATGATTTAATACACAATTTATAACAATGAGAACTATAATTATATCACAAAAATAAAATAAAAATTTATCAAACTTTTTTTTTATAAAGAAAAAGATTCCGTTTCAATTGCAACTCACTAATAATTAAAAGTGGTTTCATAATTATAAATATTTCACTTATACAAAAATATACCATATTAATCTGTTAAATACAACCACAGTTCAATTTGATATTACAATATACAATCACCCACAGTATCGCTTTGGACGAGGATTCCATACGAGATAGTGTATGAGCTGCGGGTAAGCCCAATATCAAGCTTGTGGAGTTCTTACTGAGGTGTTTTACCCTTATAAAATGGTATAGATATGCAACATATACTCGCATATCACTCTACACTGAGACACACAGACGACGCACTCGAGTCAATCATCAACAAATATGTTTCAAATTGCTATATTTGAATTTATTTATATATTATTAATAATACTTTTATTTTTTAATTGACACCGGAAATCTTTCATTATTTTTTAATTCCAGATTTAACGCCAAAATGTTATGCACTCTAGGGTAAAAGCAATGACGTAAAATGATGTCCAAATATGGGCAAAGACATGTTATAATAATAATATATGCTACTGATACAGGAAGTAAACCTATACAGTTTTAGAGTTGCTATAAATCACTGAAACATATTGTAGGGGATGGTATATGATTAACATTTATATTTAACAAAACGAGATAAATTATTATTATGACGTATTTGCTCTATTTACAAGTGTACATTGTATATAAATGAAAATTATAATTGTATATATATATATATATATAAGACTTAATTTTAAACATAGACAAACCTTTTATTTAGGTAAGTGCATGCACTGCTAGTAATAGAATATAAATGACTGATATACTGTAAATATTTTTTTTTTATTTGCATACTATGTAAATTTCACTTGTTATTTTGTTAAATAAACATATCTCTATCGTTAAATCTTAGAATCATTGTCTGTAATCTCTATAAACATCAGCATTAAAGGCATTGGTCATTCCCAGCTTAAAGATGCATATGGTGAGTACCGATAGTAAAAAGCAGTAAAATTAACTTGTTCCCATGGCAACATTTTGTGATTTTCCTGCAAGGTCAAGCCCTACTGTGGTTGTCATTTTGAATTAAAAACTATACTCATAATTCAACACCTATGAATCAAGTTCTCTCAATAAACGTTTAGAGTAACTCAAAGTAACTCGGCAGTATGTCAGGAAAAAGTGTCTAAGTGTTTAATACTCTAAATTTCTGCATGTGTAGTGGATACAAAATTCTGAATGATTGGGTGAGAAAGTTTTGTGAAAGACATTTCATCAATTTGTATTTATGTAAAATTTGTGCCCTTCCTTCTTAGTCATCTTCGTATTATGAATTTTGCGATGAAAATGTTCAGTTTTGACAATGTAAAGAGCTGGCTGCACTACCCAAGTCTTGGATGGCGACGAGGCATCACATTCTGATAAAACGACATTACCGTCTCTCCCAGTTGGTCAAAATCTGAAGCAGTCTGTGAAATGCTATGAAATATCACCATTTGCATTTTAATATTGTGACTAAAGACAAGGCCAAAGAATTGATCATTGAAGAAACTTAGATGATTTTACAGTTCAATGATGTGCAATAATCGAATGCTATGAAAGAGGAGTGGAACAAGGCCTTTGGCTCACTGCGATAGGAAAGGAAAATTTCCTCTTTATTTTTTGAAATAATGAGATCAGACATGGTCGCATACTTAATGATGTGCTTACAGGTTAATATGTTTCTGTATATGCTGGATATTGAAGAATTGCATCCAATATCAATGCAATAATAAAGTAAAAGACTTAGAAACACAAACATAGCCATTGCCATAAATTTTATTGCACTAAAGGTATACAATGAAAGACTTCATGTTGGTTGAATAACATCACTGCTACCATAGTAGTAAGTGGGTATCTATAATGCCTGGTTGGGTCGTTGGCTTACACTGCGAAACATTCGTTAAAAATGATTTGTTCAACAGAGAAACAATTTCCTTTTTGAACACACCACAGATGTACTACATAGCAACTGAAATCAGAGCATTATCTCGGTTTGCTTCATCAACACAACCGGCTGTAGTAGAAATTGCTGGATTGTATACAATGTGCATTTTGAATACTAAAATTGTTAAAATAGCAGAAAATACAGAAATATATTGTCTCACATATGATGTATTTGTAACTTATGTATATTAACATTTGTACAAAATATTGACTTTAGTAAGGTCAATTAAATTTTAATATAAAAAAAAGTTTCACATTGGTGTATTAGATTGTCAGGAAAAAATATTTACATGAATATAATTACATAACTGTTCTAATTTTCATTCATCAACATAAATTGACCTGTGTCTGCAATTGTTAATAAATTTACTAATCAGATGGATAATAGACAGTTCAGTAGACACTGAAAATGCAGATATATACACAGAACACACATTAGTATATGTTAAGTTGCCTAACAGTTGCTACACTGAAGCATGGTTGCTAGGCAACACTATAGAGTAACCATGGTGATAATGATAAATTTACTTTACAAAATTGTGCGGTAATGTTCACCATTTAAACTGGAGCAGAAATTTCACTTCTAGAATTGTTAGATTTCAATAATATTTGGTAAATTTAGAAAATATTACTGAATTTGAGATCCCTGGTAATTTAAAAATGTGATGTATATATGTACTTCATTTTTTTTAATAAAATGTACAATAAAAATATTATAAAACATTGTGAAAATATTCATGAGCTCATAGAAATTTTACATTGTTCAGAACATATCTTTTTACTCTTCCTTTGTTTTCTCTTGATCAACCTCATCTGTCAACACTTTTTCTCCATCCTCCTCTTGTGGTAGCTCGTCACTACTGTCTTTAGCTTCCTCTGTATTTACAATATCGCTGGATGCTTTCTTTTCATCGTCAGCTTCAACTTGTGATTTGTCATCTTGTATCCCATCTGAAGCTGTCGTCTCCTCTTTTGGTGCTTCTTCATCTTTTTTTTCACTATCACCATCTACTTGCTCTGTGCCTTCAACACCAGTTTTTTCATCATCTTCTTTAGACTCCTCTTTCAAATCCGGCTCAGGATCATTATTTTGTGCATCTTGATTCTCTTCCGCTGTCGATTGTTCTCCATCTTGATTCACATCGCCATCAACATCTTGTGGTTTCTCCTCTTCTTGTGGTTGTTCAACATTCTCCTCTGCATTCTCAGCAGCATCTTTTTGATGGGGATCATCTTGCTTCTCTCCATCGCTCTTCATTTCATCTTCCTGCTGTGCATCAGCTTCTTTCTCTAGTTCTGCGTCTGGGTCGATTGCTTGCAAATACGAATCAAGCAGTCCAAGTGCTTCATTTGCCTATGAACATGCAGAAACAACAAATTCATTACATTAAATAAATCTTATACTAACAAACATTTCAACAAAATATAAATTCCAGCAACTTTGTAGAAGTTTTAGTTCTTCTTCTCTCACCTTTTCAGTTACATCAGGAAGATCATTTTCCTTTGCAATTTCCAGAGCTTTTTCCAGAACCGACTTTGCCATATCGACTTCTCCCTGAATTGCATAGACACTGCCCAGTGAAATCAGGGTGTCGGTATTATTCGGCTCAATGTCAAGAATCTTGCAGAATGCCGCAACTGCTCTGTCATATTCTTTATAAAATGCATGGCAGTTGCCGATGTTGTGCAGTGTGAGCTGTAAAATAAAGGGATTTTAGTGACGTTGATCTGAAAATGTGAATGATCCATTGATCACATCAGGTATATATCTAACCAGTGAAGACCGAATCAATATTTTTCACTTTAGGCTGCATAATATTTTTCAGATTTTTTTAAAATTTTGATCAAGACTCGTATCAAATGGAAAATTTATTCCATTAGGTCCAAAATTATCAACAAAATTGTAGAAAAAATCCTAAAAATGTGAGAAAATAAACACCAATATTTTGGTAAAAAAAAAATATGGTGCTTGAAAGGTTAGATTCATGAGTGGTGAGTGAGTATGGATATGCTACATTGTACCCACAGTACAGTAATGTACCACAAAACACTGCCCTCTCTCACTGGTCTGGAAACTGCTATTGTTTGTAGTGTGGGTAATTCCCATTTTAATGCTGGACGTGGGCATCCACGAAATGCTTGTACCGATAACTTGTTCAGATTTATTTATCTTAGTCACTTCTTCAAATCTATAATATATGCAAAAACCTTTGAGTTGATGGTTTGGAAAGCTCAAAGTAAGTTTTATTTGGTAGGCAACTCATTCATAAAAAAATTTGGAATATCAAGTTTTTTTTGTATTATTCATCAAAATAACTGAACAACAATAGTTTCACATCACAATAGGTAGTATAAAAAAATATTGTTTGAAATACTTTTAAACATTTATTTTCCTCAATCAAACAGGTTACATGTTCAATAATGGGGTAATTGTTAATACAATTCGCCATCATTTAAAATGCCCTTTTCCGTTGTTCATCAATTTCTGTTTGCAATAACATGTTCTACACAGATACCTGGCATTATATATACCTTTTAATGTTGCACTCTGTTTTGTTTGAAGTTAAAGTTTGAATTCCTGAATTTTGAAAGCAAAATATATGATGACCTTTCACTCGAAGTTCGAGTTTATGAATTTGAATGTTAAACAAAACAAACAAATCTATATTGCCTGTAGGCTGAAGTTTTGATAATGGTTTGAGTTACTAAATGGAGACATTCAACCAACACAAAAATATATGTTGAATATCAAGTTTATAATTTGCATGTAGTTTTGCAAAAGTGCATGGGCGTGGTTTCTAAATTGTGGACATAGTCATCTCAATGATTCCTTAACTCGATGTCCGTAACACAGACAGTTCAGCATTTCTTTGAATTAATTGTTAATTTCTACAAAATACAAGTGAGCAAATGACCTTTACTTACAACATCTTCAGGGTACTTTGTATGACCCACATATAAGATTTTCAGTCCTTCCCTTCTGTAGTCATTTTGTACAAATGCTTGGTAGATGCCGGAGAAGATATCGTGTGGGAAGTCGCCCTTGTCCAGTATGTCTATTATTGATTGGTAGTCACCACATCTGCTGGCACCGGGAACTCTAGTCTTGAGTAAAGTCATACTGCTGGGAAATCTTACGAAGAAACAATAAAATTGGAATAGAATAGCGTAGTTTAATAAACCCCGAGAACAAACATTTATCATTTTCTGGTAATTGTCAGCTGCAGTTAAAAACCTCAAAATTTTAGAAAAACACCTGCAAAATTTTCACTTTCTATAAAAAAATCAGACTGGTTACAAATTTTGTGACAATTATACAACAGAATAAAAGAAGAAAAAAACTAATTCAACAGGTCTTGGAGGCTCACTTTTAATAGATCGCAGTGGAGCGCATATCAATTTTGGAAAAACAAGCCATGCATGGCACAGTCCCCGTTAGTTATCGAATTTAAGATATAAAGTTTTGTTTATAGTAATATAGCTGGAATATAAACATGTCAGGAATACGATTATGATGATTGTTTAACATTTAAATGATTGACATTTGTATCTGATCGTCAAATGAGTATTGAGATATTTTGCTCTAGAACAGCATTAATTAAAACAAAATCATGTATAATGAATGCATGTATAATGAATATTTAAAATTTGAACATAATCAGTCACAGCAAGACAGAGATGTGGCACTAGAACCATATTCATTAAAACAAAATGGCCACCAGTCGGCCATTTTGAATCTTATCTGAAAAACAAAATGACGTGCATCAAGGTCCTATAATGTCCAAGATATATACCAAGTTTGAACAAAATGCATCTGTAAACAGCACAAAAATGGCCACCATTCGACCATTTTTAATAGGATCGTCATACCAATATATTTGTATATCTATGACATGATGTATAATGAATATTTAAAATTTGAACATAATCAGTCACAGCAAATCTTATCTAAAAATAAAATGATGTGCATCAAGGTCCTATAATATGTCCAACGTATATACCAAGTTTGAACAAAATCCATCTGTAAACAGCTGAGAAATGATTTTTAGAACAAAAATGCCCGCCATTCGGCCATCTTGAATCAGATAGTGAAACAAATTGATGTGCATATGTATAATATCAGTATGAAGTTTGATTGTGATTTTTCCAGGCATTTCTAAGATACAGGTCCGGACACACGCACGCATGCACGGATGCACAGACGCACAGAGGTCAAAACATAACATAAGTCCTCGTGTGATTAATTATTCCTGAAGACGTTCTGCTTAGGCAAACAAACAAAGCAAACAAACTTGAGAATATTGACTGACATGATTTGAATTTTGTATGGAGTATGTACAAATATTATTAATTATTTTGTACAACACATTTTCAATATTTCAGAAACATTTCGCAAACTTTCAATTATAGCAAATGTCTACAGCACTGAAGCTGGTATAGGGTAGTCAAATATCTGCCTGAAACTGTATATTCCAGCTAAACCAGAATTGAATTAATGTTGATCGACCCTGAATCAACATTGATTGACCTCTTTTACTCATTGCAGCTATAGCAACCAGCAACCAGCTAACACCAAATTCTGTTATTAACATACTTTGTGAGTGCATATTCCACTGTTGACTCATACGGCCTCATTGGCCGTTCATTTTCTGGGAGCTTCTTATCAAAGTACTCCAAACCTGCAAACATTCGGTCAGTGGCCCACTTTGCGTGTATGATTCGTTCCAGCAAATTATATGCCTCGTCCTCATTGTTTCGTAGATAATACTCCAACATCAAATTGTTGAGGTGAGGATGAGAAACATCAAGCCGACCTTGCTTATGAAGGGTCTCACCTATAATAAATGATACAGCCCCTGTCACATACATGCGATCAATTATATGCTAAGTAAATGCAAGTGGGAATGAGGTAAAAAACAGTGTTCCATCTTGGTAAGATTTGAACTTTATCTACTGTTGTCATGGGTACATAGTTAATAGGTAACATTACATTAAAAAATCGTAACAATAATCATCTACTGGTGGATCTTGAACTTGAGCATGAGCTTTTTTTCCCTGCTCCTTTTTTTGTTCGTACTTACTGGCTTTCTTGAAGTATGGATGAGCTTCTTCATATTTTTCTTGATGAACGTAAGCACCAGCAATATTCTCTAATGCTTTCAGACATTGAACGTGTTCTTCACCAAATGTATCCTGCATAACATATAACAATATCTATTTCTTTAATACGCGACAAATGCTTTAATTTCAAAAGCGGTTATTTTTCAGTAGTTGCAGAAAACTGTGAAATTTTTTATCAGTGATTTTTGTGAAACTGAGTACTTATGAACAAATTATCCTGAGCGCCATTCAGCAATTAGTGTATATTAAAAAAAAAATTAACTTATTATTCATAAATTATTTTTTTTTTCATTTTTTCAAAAAACGTGATCAAGATTAATAGCTGATTGGAAAATTATTAGTATTTGGTTCAAAAGTAATGCAGAAATTATAGAAAAATACAGAAAAATTTGCAAATGTCCGAACAGAATATATTTTAATGTGAAATTTAAATTCTCATTATTTGTGCATACACACTCAAATTAATTACACATTCAATGTACTAGTATTACCTTGTATATTTCTAGTGCTTGATTATATTTTTGTAATGCCTCATCAAAGCTACCTCTGGATACGTCAAATACTCCCCAGTTTATGAGTTTCTCAGCTACGTCAGTATGCTTCTCACCTACCGCATTCACTGTCATGTCATATGACCTGTGACGAAAGTGAACAAATATAATATATATATATAAGTACAGATGAGGCATACATATGATGTAGTTCACTACAGAAGTATATTTATTTTTTATATATATTTGTTATAATTACATATTTTTTAGAAATTGACTGAACCATGAAGGTAGCGAAAAAGGAAAAAGAGTTAAAAATTTATCTGTGATTCTGTTATTCCTCAAAGTTACTAAGCATGCTACAATAACAACTTATACATCTTCTGAAAGCTTAGATATAGGCAAATACGGAAGTATACATACAAAATTTGATATTATGTAATCCCTCAAATACACATTGGTATATAGCATATGCACGAGCATTTTTGCATATATCTAAGCGTTCAGATGTTGCTATAGTTTGATGCAAAGTAACTTTCAAATTTTCAGAAATTGTCTGAATGACAAATTTTTTAACTTCATTTTCCTGTTTCTACCGTAAGTCAAACATATTCTTTATTTTGGACTACCATATTTGATCTATTAGTGGTGCATACAATTATGTAAATTACAGAAAATAAGTATTATTTTAAGTTAATACATTAGTTTTTACAGTCAATGCAATTGTTGTTTTTATGTGCTACTGATAGAGTAAATATGGTTAATATTCTGTGATACAATGTACTTACTTTTTATACAGTAAATCTGCTTCGTCTAGTTGGCCAAGATTTCTATAGCACAGTGCCAAATTATTGAGACACCCGGCAAGGTCAGGTGGCAACTCACCAAAATTACACATCTCATATATCTATACAAAAAATAAAAATAAAATATGAGATAATAATATATTATATGATACAAGTTATAAGTCATAAGTTACAGCATCCCTACCATATTAGGAAATGCGAACTCCAAATATGGAGCAATTACAAGTGTGAGCATCCTCTAATAATAAAAGCAAACATTGCAGCCCCCTGGGGTTGACCGGACTCCACACAAAGAAGTTTGCTGATTCTGTTCCAAACTTTTTGGATTTTGGCATTCCATCATATATCCTTGGGAGGAAAAGATGTATAATAATAAGGTTATTAAGAGAATACCGCAAAGTATGCACTCAGACAGTACACCATCTCATCAACCTCTGCTGAGCATCAGTCAATACTGTCTTTGTGCATACTTTTTGGTATCCTCATAATAACCTCATTAGTATATAACGATAATAGTCTAATTTTCTTGTAATGAACTAATTTTCTTGTAATGAACTAATTTTCTTGTAATGTTAAATCATTTCATATTTGGAATTCTCATTTCCTAATAAGGTATGGTAGAGGTACATGTAGCTCATCCAGTCAATAGTGCAAAATGATGGTATGTCATACACTTGCATCTAGTTGTTTTTTTCTCTTTCTTTATACTTTTAAAATTAGATTGTGAAACAATTTAGTAAAAGCGAACGTCGGGGCACTTATCGAAAAATAAAAGACTTTAGATGTGTCCCTTAGAAGTGTCCTCTACCAACATGGTGTTGTATTCAGCAGGATGTTGGATCACTCAAGTTATACAGGAATTTGTTTTTGAAAATTTTAGCCATTTTCATCATTTTTTTTTTATTTTCAAACAAAATAAGACTTGTCAGCAAGTCTAGGTATGCTTTAACTTTTGTAGGTATACACTAACACTAACTAACATTTTGTCATCACAATAATATCTTTAGTTCCTGTATTTGTATAATTTTATATTTAAAAAATTAAACACAAAAAACAATTAAAACTAAGATAATGTCCCATTTACCAATAGTTATTCATTTATTTTCCTCCAATTGGGGTGAAACAAAAATATTTGTTTTGTTTTGGGATAAAGTAGTTGTAAATGTTCAAGACGTTAGAGCTTAGATGTGTGCATATCAGTGAACGGTATTTGACACATACCTTTATACTTTGTTCCATTACTGGTTTGGCTTCTTCATATTTGCCCATATTTATTCGAACACACCCAATATTATTTAAAGTGCTTGCTATGAGAGAATGGTTTTCTGGCAAGTTAGCCTGGTGCATCTCCAGAGACTTCTGAAAATATTCTTCAGCCTAAAAAAATTCATAAACTTGTTTAACTCCTCCTAAAATCATCCATCATTATGAAAATTGCATTGTGGGAAACAGGATATGGAAACCATTATTTGCATATTCTTACCTCTTCAAATTTTTTCTGGTTTAGATACAGTACTCCTAGACCATTCATCGTCATAGCCTCAGTGGAACTATCAGGCCAGCTGTGAATGGACAAGAATTACGCTGTCATTGAATACGGTGTTAAATACTTATTTCTGAAAGTCAGGTTTTTAGATCTTGCAGGACCAGCAACCAATAAGAATTTGTGTTACAGAATGCAAAGTTTTTAGTCAGAAAGTTTACAAATCACCTCGGAAAGCAGCTCGAAATTGACTTTCATAGATGTATTCGGTTAGATGTAGTTAGCTGATGCTCACCACGACTAAAATCAATGGCACCTAAATAGCCCCCACCTACATCAGATTTGAAAACAGATTTTGTCAGGTTGTACATTTTTTTTTTTGAACTTACTTCTTTCTCATTTCCAGATTTTCCTTGTGCAGTTTTTCTCCCTCTTCAAATCGTTCCAAATCAACATAAAGGTTGGCAAGGTTACCAATAATTTCACAATACTTATCACATGCATCTTTATTGGCTTCTATCTCATCCTCTGAAAATGAAAAACCCTGGAAAAACCAAGAATTAATCAAACATATTAAGAATGATTAAAGTCAATTTTTTTAGATGCGCATATAATCTACATAATTCAGCTGGCGATATCAACTTACATGCATTCTCCGAGCTCTCAGCAACAAAGGTTCAGCGTTTACAAAATGTCCAGCATCATACAGGAAGGAAGCTATCTCAATAGCTACTGATAATAACTGCAAATACAAGTGGAGAATTTTGGAATTAAAAATAGTTAAATGTCACTCCACTCATATCAGGTAATTTTTATTCATTTGTTGAAAACCCAACTACACTCACACCCACTCTAATGCCATTATGCTCCTTATAGATTCTAATCTTATCTCATCCACCCCTAAATCTCAACTCACCCCCCCTCCAAATTCCCAACTCCGTCTTCTAATTTTAGTCTCATCTCCTTCCTCTTATGCTTTCACCTCTCTGATGTACAATATCTTGTATTACTCCTACATGTACCTTAATTGCTCCCCTATGAATTCACATTCATGATATCAAGATATACCTACCTTTAATTTATTTCAAAGGCATTTTTCTATCTTGTCACTCATGTCTCCCACATGCCTCTGACACGTTTCCCCACATGTCTCTCACATGCCTCTCACATGCCTCTGACAGGTTTCCCCACATGCCTTTCACATGTCTCCCACATGCCTCTGACAGGTTTCCCCACATGCCTTTCACATGTCTCCCACATGCCTCTGACAGGTTTCCCCGCATGTCTCTCACATGCCTCTCACATGTCTCCCACATGCCTCTGACAGGTTTCCCCACATGTCTCTCACATGCCTCACATGTCTCTCACATGCCTCTGACAGGTTTCCCCACATGTTTCTAACATGCCTCTCATATGTCTCCCACATGCCTCTGACAGGTTTCCCCACATGTCTCTCACATGCCTCTGACAGGTTTTCCCACATGTCTCCCACAAGCCTCTGACAGGTTTCCCCACATGTCTCTCACACGCCTCTCACATGTCTCCCACATGCCTCTGACAGGTTTCCCCACATGTCTCTCACATGTCTCCCACATGCCTCTGACAGGTTTCCCCACATGTCTCTCACATGCCACTTTTATTTAGAGTGGAACACTTTCGTTTGCAGATTATTTCCACCGAAAGTTGACAAAATAAATCTGCATTATTTTTTTTGGAATATTTTGATCAAGAGCTATTTGCTATTTATGTACATTTGATCAAAAAATATCAAAAATAAGTAAACAAATGTTACACCACCATTTTGGCATAAAACAATGATAGTGTTAATTCAGCCTAATCTTCCAATAATTACCTCCTTTGCTGGGGGATGATCTGGTGTCTCTGATGATTCAAGTTGTTCTAAATACATATTCACAAGTTGCTGATCAATAGATTTCATATAAAGTGAGGATATCTCTTCTCCTGACAGTTCAGTTGAATTCCAGTAACCAAATAAATCATATTTAGATCCATTTCTGAAAAAAAATAGAAACTGAAAATTATCTACCGCAAGTATCGTTCAAATTAATGTACTTTTATTTATAACTGTTCTACAAATGTCCATACTACATGTATGTAATGTATTGTGTTTCTGGATTGAGACGTTCATGGCAAAGAAGTGCTAAATCCTCCATACATCCACTCATACATGTATTCAGTAATGTAAACCGTGATTTATCTTGCTGGCAATTAAGTCATTTGAAGAATAGATAATTCCAAGATAATTTGGTGGTGATTTAACCCCAATTAAAAGTAATAAATCATGAATTATTAATCATCGTGTTTTCAAAGTTTGAAATTTTAATTTTGTGTGTGGAAATCTCAGTTTAAATTTATAAATGTACCAATTACAAACTTCAATCAGAAATAATTTTTAAAGTCACAACATTGTAATACAAACTGCGGTTAATAATTTAATGTACAGTAATCCACACAAATTAAGGGCGCCCTCTATTGTTCAATAATATTAAACTTTTGTTTTATTAATTACTTGTCATGAATATAATGAAAGTGATTCTTACCGAAACAACGTCAGAAAGATGGCTAAGTGAAGAAGACAATTTTGAAGTCTCTCTTGGTCACCAAACTTTTCAAGTAACCATGGCAACTCATTAATAATCCTACTAGGGATATTGACTCTGTGATCAGGACCAAGTTCCTGTAATTAAAAATTGAATTAATTCTGTTCATTCTGTTACTAATAATCTTGAACTGTAGGCCCAGAAGATCGTCCGCCTGCACGGTGTTGTTCTGTTCAGACATTCCTTCCTCTACAACACTGTGCGGTAATTCTATTCATAACTGTGTATGTCACATGGTTGCGCGATAGAAAGTTTGCCAACCAATAGAAAGCTTTGTTACAATGACTGCAAGAAAGCGCCTGGAGCTTTGCATTTCTAAGGTGTCGGCTTCATTTCTGCCGATATATGTTGCAGTGACATCATGAGCTATAACACCTACTCTTCTATAATACTCAACAGTGGTGACAACACTCTTACCACGCTCGATGATCGCAAGGCCAGTAAAGCATAATAACATAAAGATTGACTATTTCCAGTGCGACTAAAAACGAACACATCAAACACGGCACTAAGTATAGTTTGAATAGCTTTAGTCTGAATATCAGTGAGTTGCATGATGTATGGATATCGTCGTTGTATTGCCTTGACATCCAAGCCAACACAGCTTCCACTGTGCGCAGCAAAATTTATTCCCGGGTCGGGCATTTTCACCGCCCGGCAACCATCATGGTGAAAACAAAGGCCAATAAATTCTCAGAAAACGGTATTTTGGGATGGTCGTTGACACCCCCATGAACAAGATTACCCCTACATATGCAACATTTTAAAATTTTGTTGTTTAGGATTTCTTCAAAGTTAAGTTTGTGCCGTTTTCTCGATTTTAATTATTTTCGCCGGCTTTTCATTCGGTGTTTCACAGCAGCTCTCTCTGAGCCCATAGAAATACATGGTGGTGGTGCGCGTCTTAAATAGCAACGTGGAGCGTCTTGTGACTTAGCTCCGCCTCGAAGATTTTGGTCAAGCACGTTGAAGAAAGAAGCAATATGATTGGCTGTTGGTAAACTGATTCTAAACTGTGAGGGCATTGTCACATACACATAGTCCTAATGAAATACTTCAAGGTGATAGTGGAGTGCTTCGCCGGAACATTCTCCTTGAAAATTCAAGATGGTCGAGAAAGATAAGCAAAAATTCTGATGCAATTAACATTAACAAATTCCTAAAATTTGTAAACATTATAAAAATTCTGCTTTTATTTTGATTTTTGATACTTAATATTATTTCTTTTCTTTTTTTAATTACTAAAAAAAAAATTGAAACAATGACCTTAACCTTTTTTCCCCTGATGCTTTTCACCACCAGACTTTCTCTTCCAAATTTTTGTGCAATTTTTTCTTATATTCTTCAATATTTCTGGAAATGAAATCAAATTTGGGGGCCAACAGTCAAAGTTTGATCCAGTTTTCAATTTTTACTCAAAAGTGTGGCTATTTTTGTCCCAATCTTCTGAAAGAAAGTGCAAACTATAAATGAGATTATTTTGTGAATTTGTGATGAAAAGAGGGAGCTGATGGTGAAAAGGTTGAGGAATTTGAAATTCTCCCTCATCTGGTGACAAATTGTGATTGGCAGGTGTAGAGAATTGACTGTGATTTTTTTTAAACAATTCTGATTACCTTCAGTTTATTCTCAAAAAATGCAGCCACCATATCAATATTATCGTTACCATGACAATATCGCTCTTTGACAGCACTAGATAACTCGTCATATGCAAACCTGCAACACCAAATAAAATCATTTCAACACAATGAAGTATATATAATGTAAGAAGATGTTAGAACAAATGAATTGGAGATACACGTGTTCATTCTTTAGATTTTTGTGACCTTGACAATCCATCATAAATGTTCTGAACCTGGTAGTAATTATTAATTTTCCTAATTCGGGTTTGCATATCTAAAATGACTTTAAGTCATGCAAGACTTAGCCTACATAAACGTAAATACTGTAAAATACATTATTTTGCCTTGGAATTAATTTTCACTATTTTCCATGATTCAGTGAGAATAAAAGTCAGCTTATATAGCTTCTATATTTTAAATTCAACTCATCAAAAATCAGAGAAAATATATTCTATACAATACACCCAAATGTATTTTCAGTGAAAATTAATTCCAGCTAAAAATAAAGTATTTTACAGTATTAACTGAAGTGAACAAAGCCATATACATTGTAAATGTAAACTTAATAAGTAGAATTCATTATTTATTTATATATATTTACTACCTGTACAATTTCTACATTTAAAGTTGTTTTAAAACATTTTTTGGTGAAATAAATTTCATTCATTCATTCATTCATTCATTCATTCATTCATTCATTCATTCATTCATTCATTCATTCATTCATTTATAAAATCAAACGGTTGCTAATTTGTATTAGCTCATGCAGTGACCTTGGTTGTTCTAATTTCCATCTGGAGGGAGGCGCCGCCTTGCCAGTCAAATCTTCCCATTTGCATTCTACCGTGTACATATCACATATTTCAAATATTAAATCACAACAGACTTACCCATAGATGCCTTCTCTATCAATAAGAAAATCTTCCAGCGCAAAATAAATTGATGACCACAGCTGATCCGGTAAGTTGATTATTGATTTGATTTCTTGATCGGATAATCCGTAACGTGATACAAGAATACAACTCATCACCTGAAAGCATAGATAAGGTCATTTTAGAGAAAGGAGGAATACTTTTCGCACAATCAGATGAATTCTTTTTCTTAATTTTTTGAAGTAAAGTGTCTTGCTGTTCTTACCCTTATAATAATTGAAATAGACGTACATGTATATCAGGGTGAAATATCTTTGTCACTGACATTAGGAATTTTTATCTTAAATATTTTTTGTCAAAACTTTTTATCAAGCTGTATGATACCTTGACAATACAGTTTAATTGTAAAAGCATATATCATTCACAGCTTGGTGATCAACTTGGGAAGTGAAAATGAAATTTCTAGTGAATGGTAAGTTACCTTGGCAACAACATTGTCTTCGCTGTCAACTGAGTTGAAATCTTTTTCAAGTCTTTCTAAAATTTTCATGAAGAGTTCTGTGGTACTACAGAGAAAAGGATTAACAAACAATCAAAAGACTATCAGGGCAAAATGATTTACAAACAAAAGGCGATCAGAGAAAAGAATTAACAAACAATCAATCAAAGACAATCCGAGTTAATTATTAACAAAAATGACTAAGAAAAATATTATCATGTTATGTTATGTTATGATACTGCCAATGTTTCCAATATCTTACCTATTAGCTTGTAAAATGTAGTCAATATGGTCATCTAGTTTAAAGAAATCACCAAAATTAACTAATTCCTGAATAATAATATAAAAAGAATTTGTTATTATATGAAAAAACAGCATGACTTGCAAAAAGAATGATGCGCCAAAAACATTTGCTTGCAGGAGCTGGAAAAAACAAAGTAATCCATCTTTAACACCACTTGAGGGTGTGCTCCACCATAATGTACATATAAAGTTTGAACCTGTAGAAGAATCTTGAGATAGAGTGGATTTTCCGTCTCTTCTTTATTCATAAGTCTCAGTTTCTGTTCCGATGATAACTCTTTTCCACGTAATGATAAGATCGCCTGAGAATGAAATATAAATATAAAATTAAATGCCTAATGGTGTATCAAACATCCTTAGAAAAAGGAATTATTTGCAACTGATTAAACTGAAAAATCACATGCAACATATTTTTCAAAATATCTTCGACTTGAAACAACATGCAGCACCACTGAGGAAACGCTACTTCATGATAATTTTAACACAGTTCTCGTAAAAAAACTGTTGTTGTTTACCTGCATCATTTGTTCCTTCTGTTCGGTGTTTAACTTCTCCACTGATAAAATATCAAACTGTCGTTCGTTAAACTCATCTGTTTTTGAAATGTCATCCTTTAAACATGAAATGAGTAGACTGACTCCTTTAGGTATATCTTTAGGTAACCAGTAAAGCTCCTAAAATTATGAAATACGATAAGCATTATTATGGCATTATAAGCAGAAGCGATTCTGATTGTCAAATAACTAATTTTTTTTACATGTAGTTAAATTAAAATCACAGTACCGTATTTGCTCTATTAGAAGCACATCTCCAACAGAAGCACAAATAAACCAAAAATTGCATTTATTCTATTTATTCATTTATTCCTAATCATTATAATATTAGTTTTTAAATTTGATTATAGAAACACTTCTGTAATTTACTCATAGTGCATGTGCAAATAATGAAGCAAATACAGTAATCAGAATTGGACGCATGCATAAATAATTACGATTGAAGAGTATATATCAATATTAAACATAACAACGGAAATTCAAAACATATTCTTATAAAAAATATATCAGTAATTCTCACCTTTTTAGTTTTTCCGATGTCATCCATTTTATTGACACCATCTATAATAATCACAGCGTGGTATCCATTCTCGTTTATCAACGATAAAACTTCTTGAAGTTCTCTGTAATAATCCAACACAGTTTTCGGTTTCTCTGATTTGACATTTTCATTTTTTTCATCTTCATATTTCTCATTGTGTTTCTTTTTATACCCATATTTCAGGTCTTCCACTATCCGGGAAAGTACGTCTGTTTCACCTATAGAGAACAACAGTTTGTTTTTATAAGATGATTTTTGCAGGTCTTCTCTCATGGCATCGATTCATGGCATGCATATCATGGCAATGCACGAAACTTTGTTATGTTTTGTTATATTTTCAGCAAAGACAAATTGAAGAACAAATACCAGATATTGTGATGAGCTATTAACCTTTTAACTACCCTAGTTTATCTTGCTAAATTATTGGCATATTTTTATGTATTTTTTTATTATTTTTTATTAAATTTGGACCAACAGACATTTTCATTAGTACAGACCAAAAAAAAAAACCTTGCAATTTTTGGCATAATATTCTTATCTATCTTTCTATTATATTTTTTAATTAAATTCAGGCCAAACAAACCAGACCCCCCCCCCAAAAAAAAAAAAAAAATTCGCTAGTCAAATTTTTCAAGAGAAAATTTTAAAAAAATGACAAGGAGATTTTTTTTTTAAATTCATGAACTAAAGATTTAACTTTTGTTACAGCTAAACTGGATCAAGAATGATTCTTAAAAAACACAATTAAAGTAAAACTGGATGAAAAAATCATTCTGTGGATTATCTTTCTCAACTGTATGAATGATTGATTTTTAGGAAAAATGTCACCAGTCAAAAAGTTTTAAAATTATAGTTTTTTGAATATTTCTAGGTATAACTTACTTGTTGTCTTTGGAGCACATCCAACAAAATGGTATGCAATGATGTCATCCGGATGGGTTTGTTGATGTCGATGCAACCAATTAGACAGTAAAGTTGTTTTGCCAACACCTGGAATTGAAAAAAAAAAACATAGCGTAAATATGGGAGACTTGCCCTTGACGATTGAAGCTGAAAAACTAATTAGACTGCAGATTGTTTTGTTTTTTTAACCTTGAATAAAAAAACATGCATTTACAATTAAAAATGTGTTTCGCAGGTTAATTTATCGTACTAAAAAGCCACATGTGGCGAGATGTTTTAATAAAATTAGATATATCTGATTATCAGTAGGTTTATACCGTATTAAAAGTTGCACCCATTCTTTTTGAACAACAATTGAAAATCCAAAATTCATTATTCCTCATATGTGTAGATCCTCTAATTGAAGCTGCATCCCTTGTTTGCATTGGTGTATTGAAGTCACAGATTTCAATACAAGTACATCAAGTTTATCGAGATAACTACAAAACACTAGTAATAATATTGTGTTCAAAATTGATGAGGTAAATAATTGTTTCTGTTTTGTAGAATTGTCATCCACGCAATGTAACCAAAACAGCTTACCTGAATCACCAACAATTAACAACGGTTTATCAGCGAAATTTTCGTCATCTTTCATAACATGTCTATCCACTTCTTTCAAGTATGTCTCACCACCGATGTATTCCTGATTGGCACCGACACCGAGATGGCTCGCATAATACGCATTCTGCAACGACAGTTTCTCTTCACGCTCTGTAAGTTTCTTCAAAGGTTTGAGAATTGTTTGTAAATGATTCTTAATTGCCTCAAACATCAATTCTGCGCCTGCTTCAGGGTTGGGATATTCCTCTACAAACTGTAAACACTGTCAACAAAATAAACAATTAAAATTAGAACAATTAACATGCGTATATACGCAAATGTTAAAATTAGAAGAATATGGCTGTCAGTTGGCCATTATAGTACAGTACAGAGCAGTCATTTTAAAAAACGGATCTAATTTTCTTAATGAATACACTGAATGAAATTTGAAATTTAATCATGATATTATGTTTTTTAATGTTTTTGTTTTTATGATAAAATGAGATTACTATGATGGCTAGTGTCGATAGTCATAAACAAGTCACATGTGTGTGTGAATTTTTTTTTTTCTATTAATACTGTAAAGGGTTAATTATTCACTGGGTTTTAATTTAGCTTATTTCGCTGAGTGGAAAATGCGCTAAATTAAGACCCAGTGAATATGTAAAATTGAGCATGGAACACATTATCTAAATAACAAAACCGTGAATTTAAAACCCACTGAATATGCCTGAAATGGTAAATCAGTGAAATTTAAACCCAGTGAAAATTAGTCATTTTACAGTAATTAGTAGCTCATACGCTCACATAAATGACAGAGGTCGATTATAAGTTGTACTATAATGTCCCTGTGATTCTTTTTTTTCTTCTGGAAGGAGTGAAATTTTTACTACTACATCAGACTCATGATTAGGCTGAACATCAAAAGGGTCGACCCCTACCCTGGGTGAGTGTGCCACAGACTCAATGGGAAGGCCAATTTCACTGGCCGAGATTCATTCACTAATGAATGCGACTTTGGGGAACCTTGGTTAAGGTCCGCAGGTGCTTGTGTTCAACCGAGCCTGGTTAACGCCAGGATAGCGCATTACAAATTGCCATTTGACAGAGAGATGGCCACACAGCCGTCATGTAGTCCCAAACATAAATATGACTTCTGTGGCAAAATGCACTAGGTGTCGTCACTAGCACTTGCACATACAAAAAAAAGTCAGGAGAGACAACCGGAACTGTCGCCTGGCACAAAAAATATATAAAAAAAAAAAAAATTTAAAAATTATTGCTCTGGCAAAATTTAAGTGGTTAATATTACTTCACCTTATCTTCAGTGTCTTTGACTTTCTTTTTTAATTCTGTCAGACACTGAGCAGCATCTTCACCGTCTGTTATAGATTGATATTTTCTTGATTCTTCTTCGTTGTTCTCTGATTCATATTTTGCCAACATTTCATCATCATATGCCTGACCAGATAAAAATTGATTAACATTACATCGTTTTTCAACATTTTTAATTATTTAATGTTGATCTTCTTGCCATTGTTCAGTTTCATTTACTTATTTATCATTGCCTCAACTATTGTTTTGCAGTTTTCGTGATTCCCCATTTCAACCGTCTCATTCCATCCTCCTACCCATTTTTCAGGAGCTAAACAGTTGGGCTTTCTGTTTCAATTTGTGTTTATTTGTTTGTTATTTATTTAATGCATTGGTTTGATTTTGTTTTTAATTCTTTTCTTGTATTTTTTTTTTCAGAACAAACTTTACTGGAATTTTTGTCAGCAAACACACATTTAAAACACAACTGTATAAATTATAACATTATGTCTAACACATAAAAAAAAAAACTTCACATCTTTCACGTTACCTTGTCTCTGAAGTAAAAACATGCAGCCCTGTCCCCCGGATTGTTGAGATGTCCATGTAAGAATTCTAACTCAGTAACTGATTTATCACGGTATTCATTCAACCAGGGATATTTGGTGATGGCAACATCAAAACTCTTCTGAAGTAGTTCATTGTCACCATGCCAACCGTATCTCTGTTGAAAAGAACATTAGAAATATAAGTCAAATCAAATCGCATCATTAAACTTAAGTAAACTGGGAAATCCAATTATTAACGGTCATTTTCACATTTTGTACATTACCTGTCCAAAGAATCCGATAATCATGTCAGATCTGTCGAGTTCTTTCAAACATACTTCAATAGTACTTGCATTAGATGACATTTCAGAAGTGATTCCCCATCTCAAATCTACAGGTACAAACTCAAATCCTGCTCTACTGCACATGCTAGACAATCGGGGCCAATATTTCTTGGTTAATTCCTCTCTTTCGATCTCCATACCACCAAATGGTGAACTGAAGAAAACACGCACAATGTGTTTTTCACTCTGAAAGAAATTAAAATTCAATTTAATTACCTTTTATTTTCAGCTACTGTATGTATATAAAACATGTCAATTTGAGGGGATATGTGGACAAGATTTGATAAGATCAAGGGGGGCATTGACAAATTTCACACTCGGATACCATGTGCCATGTCACGTAATTACATTATACCGGTACATATATTCACGTATCCAAGAATGGTTTGGCGTGTTTTTACGACATTATTTGCATATTTTCACTTGTTTTGCATTGTTTGATAGAGTTTTCAATATTTGTCCTTTTTATACTGACATATCAGCTGTGAATTAAGCAGATGCAGCGGCATAACGGCCGGCCGTGCATGAATCAGATTAGTATACATAAATGAATGAAATAATATATTTCCCAGAAAAACGCAGTCGACTCGAATATACATACTACAAATGTACAACTTTATTCGTCAGGATAACTTATCACATTAAGATTTAAAAAAAAGCATATCTCAGCAGTGCAATACTGTTGCGGTTTACATCCGATTTATGTCTGTTCCGGTCTTAGCTCATTAGAAGTTCACTAACCGGTGAAAAACCAATATGTTTAACTAACAATGACCAATTTGAATCAGAATCCCTATACATTTAATCCATTCAACATGGCAACTACATCTGTACTTGTTTATACAGCTTTTAACTGAGATGCAGAAAGCAGATTAAGGTCACCATTTTGTATATTTCACACCTTTCACGGTCAAAACCTTTTGGCTATTTGCTTTGTTCTTGTACTGTATGAACGCCGTTATAAAGGGAAAGCACAGAATAGATTCACTTAATGCGTGAAAATTGTTTAAGAACAAAGACACCAGTCAAATTCAATCAGTACTTGCAAACATACTAAAAAGTTGCAGACATTTTATACTGTATAAAAATTCAAGAATTGTTACATTAATGTCGAAAGAAGAATTGTAAGCTGTCTGTAATAATTAATATCACCAAAAGAGAGAAAGCTGCTGCTGCAATCAAGGTGGCAAAAGTAGTATTAAATACTAAATTCAATCATGTGTGAATTCTTGAGATACGAAATAATGCATAGTGCATTCCAATGCATTGTTTTCAAAAACAGTCAAAAAGTTATCACCAAATTTATGAATGTTAACCTTTTAAACTTTTTGAATGCTATCATTTCACTTGTTAGTTTATGCATTTCTCTATAATTTATTCATTAATTTTGGTCCAGATAGACACAATTTTTCATTGCCTGCAGAAATTGGTCAAAATAAAAAAAATATGGAAAAAAATTATGATGACTTATTTTGTGAATAATGACAAAAGTGGAGTTTGGTGTCCAACAGGTTGTTTCATGTAGATTGGGGTCTAATTGTAAGAGAAAAAACAACTGATAAAAATTAGGACATTCAACAATTCCTCTTAATGATATGTGGTTTCACATTTGAAAACAGAGGATGAGCTGAAGGATTTTGAGTGATGAGAAGAAAATATGGGAAAAATGAGAATAAAAACATTGTCAGAAGGTAGAACTTTGTTGCATCTTTCATGGTGATTACTAAATTAAAACTATTGTTTGACAACAAAATATTTGCCTTAACTCAGAAAACAATTATCAATGTTTGTAGTCATCTTGTTTAACAGTTAAAAATGTCTGAATCATCTGACACCTTTTTTCAAAATTTGTTGATACAATTATGAAGAAAAATTAAATAATAATAAAAAAATCAGTTTTCAAAAAAACATCACAATTACAAAATGACAATTAATTGTGGAAAACTAATTGTTCAGAAATTGTTAACACTAAATTTCTTTCTTACATATTAAGAATATGTACTAATGAGATTACTCCCATCAACACTGCAATTGCATACCCCCCCCCCCCCCGATCAGTATTTGTACAGGTATGTATTGGATATAGCAAATATTGACAGTATTGAAACAATCAGTGTGTAGTCTCCAAAAATCACAATTTCAACAGAATTGTAGTCTCATTATGTAATATTTCAGCATTCCTTGCCAAAATGTATTTAAACATGGCCACTGATCTGCCATCTTAAATTTAACAATCTGTGGAGAACATAACAAAAATGGCCACTTGTCATCCATTTTAAATTTAATAATTTCTGTGGAGAACATAACAAATATGCTCACTGGTCAGCCATCTTTAATTTAATATTTTACGTATGTAACATAACAAAAATGGCCACTGGTCATCCATTTTAAATTTAATAATTTCTGTGGAGAACATAACAAAAATGGTCACTGGTCAGCTATCTTAAATTTAATATTTTCTGTGGAGAACATAACAAAAATGGCCACTGGTTATCCATTTTAAATTTAATAATTTCTGTGGAGAACATAACAAAAATGCCAATGGTCAGCCATCTTTAATTTAATATTTTCTGTAGAGAACATAATATGAGGTTATTTCGAGGATACCTCAAAGTATGGACGAAGACAGTACAGCGGAAGTATCGGCCGGCGCGCAGCGGAGGTCGATGTGACGACATACTGTCTGAGTAATAACCTTATTATTATACATCTTTTCCTTCCAAGGATACATCATGGGAATGTTGAAATCCAAAATATTTAGAACAAAATCAGCGAACTTCTTTGTGTGGAGTCCGTTCAAAACTCGTTGGCAGCCATGTTTGTTTTTATTATTACAGGACGCTTATGCGTGTAATCATTCCATATTTGGAATTTGCATTTTCTTATATGGTAGGATGAAAATACCCCATAAAATACCGCAAAATTACGACACGATGTAAATTATGGCATTACGGTGACAGATGTGTAATAATAGATATTAATAATTAAGTATTAATACAAATATATATTGTCACATTATTCTGTTACGAATCACATTTTTGAAATCTACTATGATAGTTTTGATCAAAAGATAATTCAATGTTATTAAGAGGATTTTCAATTAATTAAATTTAATAATGCATAACTTAATTAATCTACTACGAACTGCTTATTATGATGTATGCAGAGAAAAATACAAAATAATTTGAAAATGACTGACACATCAAGGAATTAATAAATCCAGATTGAACTTGTGTTGAATGCACCTGTTGAAAATAAAATTGTTTCTCAAAATTAAAATACAGCCATAAGACATGCTGAGCACCTTGAACAAATATTATTATTTTGGGTATTTTATGAAGTATTCCTGTACACTAAACTTTGGATATTTCTTCTTGGATGAATTAGAGAATCATCGAACTACTATAAAATACTTTAATTTAGCTGTAATTAATTTTTACTGAAAAGAAATTTCAGCTGTTTTGTACAAAGTGTATATTCACTGATTTTTGATGAGTTAAATATAAACTTTAGAAAAAAGGATATTTTCACTGGATTTTATTTTATTGTCACCGATTCATGAAAATAATAAAAAAAAATTCCAAGTGAAAACAAAGTACTTTTACAATACCATACTTAGAAAACTCTGAAGATCACGACACACTCTAGTAATTTTTTATTTGCAGATGCACGTGTACACACATACAAAAAAAAGAACAGTTCTCCAGCTTCGTTAAGCAGGATATTAAATGGATAAATCGTAACCAATTATCTTTCTCCCATTAAAATATGTAAACACTCATTTCAAGAAGTCACCAGCTATCGTTAATAACTCGTCAATGTTCATCTCACGCACGCTGACTATTAATCACAACACTTTTTCAGCATGTCACAAATTGATTGTATTGTTACCAGGGTAACAACAATGTTTACCCAATTCGTAAATGGAAACACATTAGTTTTATAATCAGAATACTGTAGTCTTTTAACATTACTGTTATTACCTGCCATTCTTTTATGTATGAAAACATAGAAGTAGTTGCCATGGCAATAAAACAAATAATAATTTCTGTTCCAACGTATAACACTATGCACAAATTATAAATCAAAATAAAATACAACAGTAGCAATAAAAAAAAAATAATAACAAGGGTAGTTATGGCAACTGAGCCAAACATCCCAGGGCATAGATTTTTCACTGCCCCTCCTACTCTTTATATGCAACCCAACCCACTCCCTGCGGATCGTAAGGTGACAATGCCACTGTTTTCTGAAGGTGTTGGCAGCAGCCTTTCACAATGTTTGTGTATGATGTGATTGTACCGGTAAATGAGGACTTCACCCCGAGACAAAAACAAGTGTACAACAGTAGAAATACAAAGCCACACACCGTAAATATTGTTCCACCCCTGCAGCCTTATTAAGGTAAATGAAGTGCAAAGTTTATCACGGCCATTATTGGGTTATTTTGACACGTTCAACTTTGAGTGCATGTGTTTCGTGGGTCAAAACTGAAATCGGTTTACCTCTTAGATGGGGATTCGATGATTTGGATATGATCGAAGTAATTAACTCATTTGTACGGTAATTATATAACCAGAGAGGAAAAACGTACAGATTAATTAAAACGCATAATTACTGCAAATGAATGGCGTTTAACGGACCAATAACGCATAATTTTACTGCTATGTTCTTGTTATTAATACTACACAGGACCATCGGAAAACTAAAATTAACATTTTCGATGCGGCAGAAAACAAGCTACAACGGCACCTTTAATAATATTACAACGTTAACTTGTACGTGTTTAGTTTGTTGTTTAGTATCTATCGAGGTTGTCAGATGCCAACACGTGTATAAGCATGCCAAATATTAATATAAAAATAAATAAGAGTTACCTTGGCCATGGCTAAATCAATTGCACGGTCGGAGACTGTATGTTCACGCTGGTTAAAGTCCGAATTCGTTTTAATCCGGGGAAATTAAGGTCGATATGTCTGTCGCCGTTCCCGCAACCTACGCTGATCAACCGAACCCGTAGCCACAACTGAGTTGTTGACTGGGCGTCGAGGATACCGACTTCATTGCTTTCAACGTTTACGCTGAGGTCAACGGAGACAAAACGTGACAATGCCTTGAATAGGAGCACCGACATGTGTATTGTAATAGTATTATTGTGCAGTGTGCGAGTTTAATACCAATGGGGGCGCTGTTTGTTTACAAGTTATTTTGCCGCCAATTACATATCAATAATATAATATAATATAATATAATATAATATAATATAATATAATATAATATAATATAATATAATATAATATAATATAATATAATATAATATAATATAATACTATACTATTGTATTGACACAGCACTGACACAGAAAGGTACAGCAGTATGGTCTTTAAAAAAAACTAGGACATACAAAATACAATACGACTAGGTACTATAAAGCTGCAAAAATAAGAAATTAA